CCGTGTGCTATGAACTTCAGAAGCTATAATTGTGATTGTTATAACGCTTACCAACCAGAAAACTTCAGATAGTCGGAACCAGGAACCTTTACAAAGTTCGAACATTACAGATCATTTAACTTTAGTGAATTCTCATCGAATATTAGTATTTTTACGAAAACATTATATAAATTCATCGTGGAAAACTCGACGTGTGTGGCCGATAAATAACGAAGGACAAAGCTAGCTAGCTTCCCATAAAGCAGTTCATACCTACATCAACTATATTGCTTGTAAGTTTGTGAAACTTTTATTTATAAATCATTGTTTGTAATAACTATTTGTAATAACTGTTGTTGTAAATTGTATTGTTGTGTGTATATTAAAACATATTTGTGTTAAAAACGAAAACTGTATGTATCAATCTTGTTGGCATATATCATAAACTAACTATATATCGGCTTTTACTTAACTACTAAATCCAAAGTACAATTTAACTACTAAACCTAAATTTATCAGTTAACTGAATTTCAGGCTATTTGAAATTCTAATACGTAACACAGTGCATATAATTATTTTTACAACTATGCTAGAAACTTGTATGTCAAGAAAATGTAACTGTACTTTGTTGTTTACAAATAAAATTGAAAAAACATATTTCGTTTATAATATATATAAAAGCACTCTCTGTTCGTAACGCTCCCTTTGTTGGTATTGCTTGCCTCTCTGTTGGTAATGTTGAAATTGGCTCATTGGTTTATCTCAAGCGGAAATCTTCAGTTCAAATCCTATTCGTGTGGGAATTTTTTATAACTTGGTTTGATTATCAACTCATTATGTTTATTGCAAGATATTACAAATTAGGGAACCACAATAACACGATAATTTACGTTAGGGCTTTGAATTATTTGTTATCATTTGTTTACAAAGACTGGGTATCACAGTGGTTATAATGCTCGTTATAGTGTGGAAGTCTCACGTCCAAATCTCAGTCTATTTTTAGAATTTGTGAGAAATTCCTATGACGTCTGAAATGAAAATGACATAGGAATGGCGGGACCGATGCAAACGAAGTTGATGATTATTAACACCTCACTTGAAAAATACCTTTTGGTCAGCATTAAAAAAGTGATCTCAAGACACATTATTTTAGTGTGTTTATCTGGATTAATATACAGATTATTTACATTTCAAGAGTGATATAATTAAAAAACTGTGTAAATACATATTGTGTATTTCTTTAAAAGAATTCACACCTGCAATTGGTAAAATGCAATGAGCACATATACATATGTGTGTGTGTGTGTTTGTGTGTATATAAGTTGTTGGAGTGATCCAGTTAAACCTGATAAGGACCAGTTAATATTTTCTGAATGATCAATTGGAAATTTTGTGAATATGAGATTTTGATATATCCATATATTTCAAGAGCAAATATGACACTAAATATAATGAATTTACATGTAAATTATTACGAATAACATAAAAGATGAAACGTAGAGGGAAAGAGATGAACATATTTTGTTTAAACATTCAAAATCAATGTTAACAAGACCTATAGTCCTTAGATGGGCATCAGGCTCGTTTATATGACTAATTTTCAATGCAAGCAGTCGAAGATTCATTTCTTAGTCTCTTTATTGTATTTTTTATAAGTATTCAAGTTTGCAGGTCACAAATACGACTCAAAAATAGTGGTAGTCGTATGTACACGTGTTGTGTCTCAAAACATGTGAATTTCAGAAATGATGGACTTTCTTTTACCCCAACATAATACAGTCGCCTGATAGCAATACAATGGAATCTTATTTCTTGGAAAAGGAAGTTTTCCCTACTTTAATTTCTATTTCGAGAAAACTAAACAGCAGTCTCTTTTACAATATTAAACGAAGAACTGTTAATCTGTAAAGTGAAATACTATACACGTTGAAAGTTTTTATAACTATCAGAATTACGGACAGTTATTTTTTGTTCTGTCACACCAGGTAAAAAAAGTAATGATATCACGCATATGATGATTTTTTTCTTGATAAACTGTCCAAGAAAAGTTACATTTCTTTGCTTGCAAATTGCAAATCCTCTTTACTTACAAGATTTGTCAGTTGTTGCACAAATACTTGATGAATACTGTTACATCCTGGTACAATTATAGATGTATTATATTTTTTTTCTGCCGATATTATTTATGCACCCCTGCACTCGCATGGCGACCTTAGGTTTAAGTGTGGCAGGGATGGTTAAAGCTCCTCCACCCCCACGACAACCAGGTAACTGCATTGCTGCTTGCTTTCTCTCTCTCTATTCTCTTCTTTCTTTTATGTTAATTCGTTAATTATATTTTCAATCTTTCCTACAATATAATACCAATTTCCTGTAATACAAGAATAAATATAGATTCCTCAAAACGTAGTGATTGTTTCGCATATTCTTAGAACCTTACATTTCTTCTGTTTTTCCCTTTTTTTCATCTATTTTACAACTGAGTAGATCTAGTTTTCAAATAACACTATCACTGGAACAACAAAGCATATCGTGATCTTTCACGTCAACAAAAACTTAGTATTTCTGGATGAGTTTATAGTTCTTTTTGTTTGCTAAAATAAATAAATAAATAATGAGCAAATTGGTAGTAATGTTGTATAATGGTGAAACCAGTGAAACTTCAAAAACAAAAGAAATAAGACGCAATTAATTCATTTTTAGAAGCTTGAATTATTCAGTTTCTACGTGCTGAAAAAATTCGAGTTTTTGTAATTCAAAGTCAAATGTAGCAACGTCTATATTTTACTAACTTATAAGTTCTAGTTTTGTTTTACTTACCTAATTTTTCTCTCATCCAATCAATCTTCGCAATCTGTTTAACCTAAGTTAATGGTAAGTCTGAGGGCTTATAAACTTAAAAATCAGGCTTCGATACCCGCGGTGTGCAGAGCACAGATAGCCCATTGAATAGCTTTGTGCTTAATAAAAACAAACACATACCTGTGTGAAATATACGATTTTATTGGTTTTTTTACAGTATGAAGACAAATAATCCCAATGAATCATTTTCAGATTTGTTGTGTTTCATCTACTCGAGTTGTATTTAAGTTTTCAACTTCTATTTATTTCTAAAGATTTATTGTTTGTTAAATTTGAAATACAGTTAGAAAAACAGATACTATAAAAATCACAAATCAATGAAATATTACATTATATTGTTGATGTTTCTAAGTGCACAGTTATAATATATATATATCATTTCAAGCAATCACAATATGTGAAAATTTGTTGTTGATTTGTGGTAGTATTTAAAACACAATGATTAACATTTAAATACAGCCTTGTACGTTAAAAAGTGCAAGTTCACGTGAAGGAGTTTAAACACTAATGCTACCTTTGTCCACAGTATCCTATTTTTTTTTTTAAGATAAGATAGTATTCGCTATGTTCCAAATTATTTTAGATATATTTAGACCAAACATTTTCATTCAGCGTTCCGTTACACAAATAATAATATACACCCTGCGGTATAAATAACATCGTTTATGGATACTTTCTTGTTCAGGTTTACAGGGGGGGGGGGACTTTTTAGTTCCATTACATACAGTCGGATATACTGGGGGGGGGGATTTTTTAGTTCCATTCTACACACTCGGGTTTATTAGGATAATAATATAGGTGAAACCACTAAGGAGTTAATATATATATATATATATATATTAATATATATAATTGTGGATACATGTTTGTTTGTTTGTTTGTAATTAAGCACAAAGCTACACAATAGGCTATCTGTGCTCTGCCCACCACGGGTATCGAAACCCGGATTCTAGCGTTGTAAGTCCGCAGACATACCGCTGTGCCACTGGGGGGCAAAAGTTTCGGGAATGTCCTTCTTCAGGTATCACTAACTGAAGAGTAAATCTGCAAACGAAATCCGTTGACCGAAACGTTGTATCCACAATTATATGTATTAATATATATATATATTTACTCCTTAGTGGTTTGTCCTATAACATACTTCTTTTTATCTTTTTCAACAACCACTACGCATAATTTCCTACGCAGTTTTCTAAGGATAATATTTAGTTCTACGCTACACACTCAGATACACTTGGTGATTATTTAGTTCCATGAGACACATTTAAGTATATTGGGAGATTTGTTTAGTTCTATGATATACACTCAATTATATTGGGGAAAGCTTCAGTTACAGGCTACAGGTTATGAAATAATAGATTTTAAAAACCGTTCTTGTATGTATACTTGAAAAACATTTTGTCAAAGTTGGGAATTAGAGATTAATGTGTAACACATGAAAATATAATTTTGGTACAACTTCAGAGGCATTTCCTGATTTATCACATAAAAACCACTTTCACCAGTGTATGAAAACAACGATGGTACAATCACAGGAGTAGCATAATTTATAAATACAGTTGAAAAATTCTCCATTGTAATTTATTTCTGCCACTAATATATATATATATTTACAAAATAAATCAATCCAATAACAAAGAAAGTTAAATAATATGATTTCCTACAGCTTTATGGTAATACGCGCCAAATATTTCTGTAATATTTTAAAAGCTGATACGCACAAGATTTTGTCATTCTGAGTTCTCGCGGCTTGACGTTCTGATGGTGTGACATCCTGGTCATCCAAACGACACAATTGAGGAAATAGATATATTACACGATACCTGAGTAAAAGAAATGTATTAATGTTATTTTCAAAGTGTTTGTATGTTGTTTTTATACTATCGATAGTTTTTAATTTTGAATCTTGTATGATATTTAATATATTCAAAGAAAAGGAGCTTATCGCTTAAATTTTATAGACTAGTTTTGCTGTATAACTTTTCTATGTTGAAAAGAGTTTAACTAGAACCTAGGGTAACAGTGACAGTACACGAAGCAAATTTTTATGTTTTTTCAGGAGCGTTACGTTACATCCTTTCTTTAAAGTTTGATTCATTTAACAGTATTGATTGAAGTGTTTGTTAATAAACATAGTATGTTTTTTATTTACTGGTTACACTTCTGAGGATTATTTTGCATTGTTACATTAGTATATTGATTTAGAACTAACACAAGTTAGTTTGCTTTATCAGAAATTAAATATAATTATTTGTCTTTAGCACTCATACGATAACAGTGTTATTGAGACATCCGATGAGAACATTTTCGTCCACAAACAAATGAACTACCATTCTATTTCAAAGATGCTAAGGTATTTTGTACTGGTGTTTGTCATTCATAGGTACCGAGTCAATATTTTTTATAGCCCAATATTACCAACAGTTTAAGTGATATAATTACTTAAGTTAAAATTATAAGTCATACACAATACGTATGTATAAATTTATGCATTAAATAATGATATATATTTCTCTAGAAATATTTATATACAGTTAACCTTTATCAACTTCAAAGTTCAATTATCCATTGAACAACAACAATAAAAAAATGGATAGTTAAATTTCAAAAATTTAAATACGGAATTAAAATAGTCTAGTAAACTTATTACTATTATCATTAAATTTTATACATTATGTATTGTTTGTTTTGAATTTCGCGCAAAGCTACACGAGAGCTATCTGCGCTAGCCGTCCTTAATTTAGTAGTGTAAAACTAGAGGGAAGGCAGCTGGTCATCTCTTGGGCCACTCTTTTACCAACGAATAGTGGGATAGACCTTCACTTTATAACGCCCCCACGTCTGAAAGGGCGAGCATTTTTGGTGGAACGGGGATTCGAACTCGCGACCCATAGATTGCGAGTGGAGCGTCCTAACCATCTGGCCATGCCAGGCCATATTATGTATTCATAAGTTACTGGGAGTGTTCTCACTAACTCTGGCTAAAATTATGATTCTAAGAGCAAGTACCCAAAAATATTTTGTTGTAATATTTAAACTTTTAGGTTATATGATTTTGAATTTAAAAAATAAGAATTCATTTCACGTCTTCATTTGATTGAGGATGGCCTAGTGTTTAGCGTGCTGGGCTGCGGATTGCAAAATTCAAGGTTCGAGCCGTGATAAATCGCTAAACGTGCTTCACATTTTCATTTGTGAGAGTGTTATAAGTATGATAGTCAATCTCGCTATTGGGTTAAGAGTGGGCTCTTATTAGGTAGTGTATGGTGTTGCCTGGTTGCTCTCCCTCTGGTCAGCAGTTGTAAATTAGAATTGGGTGTGCCAGAATTTTGGTAGTTTCTGACCTGGCCGTTTAGCTCATCTGTCTCATAAGATACCGTATAGATTTAAAATATCAGATACTACATAGTTTACATAATTTTTTAACTACAAGCTTATAAGCCAGTGAACAAATTTTTATATATTTTTAACAAAGGGAAATATAAGATAGACCTACTAAAAATAGGGTATTAACTCCATTCCTTGTTCCTGTAATCATGCTTATATTGGTCAAACAAACCAATATCTTTCAATTATAATAGAAGAACATAAAGGCTACTGTCGTCAGAAGGAAGTTCATAATTGCCTTTAACATTACGTCTTCTCACAACCAACCAAAAATTAATTTCGATCAATCAAAAACTATTGCAACGCAAGAGAACCGAGAAAGTAGAAAAGAGAAAACATGCTCAATAATGAACTAAACCCCATTTGAAAGTCGGTTTTCTAAATTAGTTTTTAGAGTCTGCTATCGTTAGTGAACGTTGATCTTACTGAACCGTTTTGAAGCTAAACATACAACACACTGAGAACAGTCCTATTCAGTCCCTTGTAAATGGCAAGTTGACCTATCGAAACTAGTCGTTTTTATTTTATGTTTGTTTAATTCATCAGTCGTGTATGAATTATTATGCTGATATGTTACTGTTTCTGTTATAAACCTTATTATTCAGTTAGAATAGTACACGAGTTACCGGTGGGTGGGGTTGATTAGCTGCTTTTCCCTCTAGTCTTTCCGTTCAAAATTAGGGATGGCTAGTGCACGAACATTTCATGATGACTCATCTCATAAATTTATTCAGTTATATATGACATAAATGTACGAAAGATGAGAAATGGATATTACGTTTTAGAAAGTATCAGTGATTCAAAGTTTGTTTGTTTGTTTTGGAATTTCGCGCAAAGCTA